GGAATGCTTCTCAGAGTCATCCGTCACCACTGCTAATCCAGCATCTTCTTGAAAACTGAGTGAAGGCGAGTCCACAGCTTCCCTGGGACTCTATCCCACCGTGCTGCTGTTCTAACACGAAGGAAGCTTCTTCTGCTCTATACTCTAGGTCTGCATTGCTGTAAATCAGCAAAAGACCCCAGGGCAGCCCCAGGTCCACGCACGAAGATTACTGACCTGATCCAAACGAAGGGCACCATCGATGAAGCGTTGCTTGCGCAGCTGCTTGGCGATGCGGTGGAGGTTCAGCACTGCCCAGTGAATTTCCTCTGTCGTGTGCTGGGGAGAGATGGGAGGCAGCTCCTCCGGCGAAAGCACCTTCTCAGGGCATTCGATCATGCTCTGCGCGTGGTCGTAGCTCAGCTTTACACAGGAGCAGATGATGGTTCGCCCGAACCATTCGTCGAGGATCTGCAAAATCAGAAAATGTAAGAACGTGGCAACTGAAAGGAGGGCTGGCTTCCAACCTTCCCCACCAGCCCAGGTCTTTCCTCCTCATACCCACAAAAATTCCAGGTCAACTGACAAGTGGCCTGTGTGCACCACGGTAGGAGGCATTCAGGACACAGACAATGGTACTGACATTGTTATGAGCAATCTGCTAGAAACTGGGTGGTTGTAGCTACTCAGCCACAGACTGCAGCACACCCTCTACTCCAGGGCTGGGGCCAATAAAGGCCATCAGGCTGAGCATGTGATGCTTCACTTGGACACAACGGTCCCAGCTGGTCTAGACAGGGGACTGCCCGCTGGGACCTTGATCCTAGACATGCCTTCAGGGGCTCCACTGTAGAAGCCCATGCTGTGCTCTGACCACCCGTGCACCAGGCCTACCAATCTCCGCCCTTTCATTTTACTCAGTCTTATACCCGTTATTCAGGCCTGAATTCAACCCAAAGTACAGCAAAGCAACAAACGCTCAGGCAAGTGCGTATCTGAGTGTTTAAAGCTCTTCACAAAGTAAGATGGTTTTATCTGCCTCCATCACATAGTGATGGGCATCTGACATTGTCTATGGAAAGAGACTTTCTCTTTGATGGAAACCAAGGGCATTTTACACACTTTTTAAAGCTTCTGTCCTTTAAAAAAAAAAAAAAAAAAAAAAATCACTGATCCAAAAAGCTCCCTATTCAAAGTTATGGACATTTCCTGCAAGGTAACTAAGATGCTGCAGTCTCTTTTTAAACCTGACACCATCAGTAAAAAGCAAGTGGAAAACATGTAGCCGGATAATGAAAAGTAAATGGTTCCCATTTGACTAGACCAAAAAAGTGGTTCTGCACCTGGAAGCTTTTGCTCCAGGCAGTGAACAAGGCTGAGTTTCCACCATTGGCGAGGAGCTCCATCTCATGTTGTTCCCACGTATCAAATCCTATGTACATAAGGGAAACCTCCCTTAGCAGGGCATTCATACTGTTAGATGTTAGCTCCCTCTTCTAACCCTAGCTCTTAATAATAGCTACGTTAAAAGCAGGGCGGGTTTGATTTAAAACAAAATTTGATTTAAATCGCAATTTAAATTACTGGTCAGGAAGCCTCGACTTACTCACTGTTTTCTACAAAAAGTAAATTCTTGTTGTTTGATGTAACCTTTGTTCAAGGCTATAGAAACAGGCTTCAGGACAGTCAGCATACATTTTACATTGCTCGTTAGCCCAATGTTGAGAACTTTGGCTATGACGATTCCATCTATTTTGTCACAATTGTGTTCACAAATTGTCATCAGATTCGGCCAGCTCTCAATATATCTCTCAGAACAGTCCACTACTACGTTCTATTGCACGTCTTGTGGGAGAGCTAGTTTGGCTCCTCCTGCTTTCTTCAGAGCAGCTGCTGCAAAGTGTTTCTTACAGAAGTATTTTGCAATTTCAACAAAATTCTGCTCAAAATGTTCCTCTTTTGTTTCTACTGCCCCTCCCTTCTTGCATTTATCTTCAGACTCCTCCTCCTTGCCCAGATCTACTCCACCCCCAACAATCCTGTATTTATCTAACTTCCTGACACTTTGCACTTTTAGAGAGAGGTAAGGGTTTGACTCTGTGCGCACAAATTTGCAGAGAGACAACAGGGCCGATGGGTAGGTAATTAGGTCTGTTCTCGCTCATCTCCATATACTGCTGTTAGCAAGGATGTTATCTCTGGAGACACAAATCCACATAGAGATCTTTAATGGGATCTTCTAGACCGAGCACTGAGTCCCACTGGGTCGAGTGGCATTCTTTAATCTTTATTAATCTATAGAGGAGCCTCAATATGTTACATGAACATATTGTCTCAAATAGTATACGATTAGAAGTTATGATCCATATTTCATGATATCTTTGAGCTTTAACATATCTTAAATGAAAACTATCTTTATATAGGTTTATTCTTTAAAGCACCGTAACAAATTTAAAATACGATTAAATAAAAAAATCTGAATTAAATAAATAAAAAAAAAAATCAGATGTTTTAAATATTACTTTTAATTGTTGCTTTTTATCCACCGTGATTAAAAGCAAGGCCTTTATCCGTGCTGGTTCTTAGCATAGTAAGGGCCAAATGTTTCAGTGAAAGCACGAATTTTGTCTTTCTGGAGTGGGTTTACTTCTGGGCACATCACCATACATTAAAAAGACAGAGGATTGGATGGATACTTTATTAAGGACTTCGTCCCTTGTTTGTGAGCACAAATCAGATACCTACATTCAGAGCCACATTTTGATCAGAATGAGACATCAGGCAATGCGGGGAATCACTACGTGACTTATAGTGAGATCTGAGAATTTTTTCCTCTCATAAGCAGGTCACAGCTTCTCCAAGTGGGAACGATGTCTTATTGAGGAGGAGAGGTTCAGAGTGGTATCGCCATCCTCCCATACTCAACGGCTGGATGGGAGGAGACACGCATGCAGTTCTATCTAACACGGGGACATGGTATGAAACAGGGCATGAACCATACGGGTTCTCTGTAGAGCGTATGCTGCGTGACTAATTTTCATCAAAAAGAGACATGTGAAAACACCAGCTGTAAGTGTGAACAGGCACCAACAAGTTCCAGGGGCCTTCACGCTTGTAGTAAAACTGCACATGAAGGTTTCCTCACTCAACATCCATGCATGCAGGTTTGGAAAGAACCTTTCCACTGACTACAGTAGCACCAGAACAGGTACCACCCAGCTCTTAAGTAACACTGTCCATCACTAGACCTCAGCATGCTTTACCAAGAAGGTCAGTATTGCTGCCCTCATTTTTCAGATGGGGAGAACCAAGGCTGGACAGGTGGAGTGACCAAGATCACCCTGCAGGTCAGTGGCAGAGCTGGGAATAAAAAAAACAAGCCTCCTAGACACTGGCACAGGATGTATTTAGTCTGGAGAAGAGAAAACTGAGGGGGGAAGTGAACAGCAGCCTTCAACTTCTGGAAAGGGGGTTTGAAAGAGGCTGGAGCTGGACTGTTCTCAGTGGTGGCAGATCACAGAACAAGGAGCAATGGACTCAAGTTGCAACAAGGGAAGTTGAGGTTAGATGTTAGGAAATCTCTCACAGTCCCGTGAATTTGCCTGTATCAGGTATCAGGTACCGTGGCATGCAGCCTGGAAGATCAATCAGAATATGTATGATCAGAGGCTGGCCAGCTTCAGAGCAACATATAATGCTCTTTAGTAATAGCCAGTGCTGAATTCCCCTTCTGCACTCAATGGTCCATCTCCAGTCTCCGGAGGCAGCTGGGTTGTCTGCTGCACTGTTTCTGCTGCAACATGCTATATCTATTCACTAATGTGTCTGCTGCAACATGATATATCTATTCTGGCTCATGTGTGGATCCTTGTACCTGAAGTATCTTGTACTTGGACACCGCCGTGATGGTGTCCTCATGAATAGCTCTAATGCTTCCTTTAATTGAGGCTGACATAGAGGCATCAGTTTCTCTGTCTGCCTGAAGCAGGTTGAAGATGCATCTTGCCCAGTATAATCCAAGAATCCCTGGGGGTGTCCACTGCTGACGCATGCAAACACTGCAGCCCAAACTCCCTGTGGCTCCGAGCCAGGAAGTGCAGCTGAGTGTATCAGCTGTCTCTAACCAGCGGGTTTGCCTCCCTTATTAGGAGAAGCAGCAGTTGCATTGTATTTGACACAACACTGCATCAAAGAGGGGAGCTTGTACAAGAAAGAACTGGATCTCACCTAAGGTATGACTGTGAGCGGCGCGGAGCCCTGGAATTGCAGGGAGAGGCTGCATTTCAGTAGTAATGCTCTATTCCGGACACAGTGCGGCCCAGCTCGTGAAACGTATTGCATCGATATAACAAAACTGATATGCACAATCCTTGGGAAGGATTTTCAGAGAGGGTCTGTTGTTTCCTACTGAACTCATGGAGCTACAGACAACGTAGGGAAGAATAACAACACAGAAACAAGTCACTCCAAGGTAAATTAGAGCGGGAGCTTAAAGCACATCAACAGCTCAGCGCCAGCTGCCCGTGTGCATACTTTTACCAGGGCTAAATGAAAGATGGCTCAGCCCACTTTCCAAGGCGTCAGACACACAGGTAGATAATACACTCAGTCACTCTAGATAATACCCTCTAAGTTCACACCATATCATACCTCGCAGTACCACATTTGTGTGACCCGACTAACCAGAACTTCAGACAGCACCTGGCCTGTTACATTCATGGATAAAACTAGACAAGCTTTGCCGTGCCGCAATGAGGGATAGACAACAAGAAGGCAGCTGACTCCAGACAAGAGCAAGAACCTGACGCTGCAATCAAGTCTCATCCAACCTGCAGGCATCTTACTGGCAGGCACATTAGCGCCAGGTTTATCGTGTTGCAGGGGTGAAGACAAAGTGCTGAAAAGGCCTTGCTGATCATGGTCCCAGCTGCATAAATTCAAGTTAAAATATGGCCTTGATGATAAGAAGGTGCCTGGAAGACCCCTAGGCTCCTAACCACGGAAAGGCTCTGTCTCCATGCTCCATCACAGGACTGGCAGAGCCCGGAGGGGGGCACATCTAGTTCAGCCCCCTGCTCCAGGCAGGATTGCCCCTGTCTAAACCAGCCCAGCTCAGCGCCTGTTAAACCTGCTCTTAAAAAGTTCCAAGAATGGAGATCCCAAGCGTCTCCAGGTGATCTGTTGCAAGCCTTACGCCTCCACAGATCCCTGGCAGAACTCAAAGACCACGTGCAGCAGGTGGGCACCCTTTGCTAGACTTCTTACTCACCTGTCTGCACTGGGATCAGACGGCAGTAACACTTAAGGACAAGCTCTGACCAGAATGCCTGGCTGGGTTAAGGCCTGTGGTTGCAAATTCTAAGGACGACAAATGTTCATTAAGTGGCCTCTGATTCTTATCCAAACCCAGTGCCCCAGGCGTAGCTTGCAGACTGCAAAGGGCCCCAGGAGAAACCCAGTAGTGAGCTTTCCTTAAGCAATCAGGCTTGCAAAGGGAAACCCTCACACTGATATCAGAGCACTTTCTTCCTGGAAAGCAAATGACCTCAAGGATGACTATCTCCAGGCAGCGAAGACACCACGACCCCTCCCAAATTTCTCGGACCAAGCCCCAGCAGAACTAAAAACTGTTCTAAGCCGGAACATACCTTAAGCGCCAGACCGAAGAGGTAAGATTGAGCTGCTCATTTAAACAATGAAAAGAAATCAAGCATCAATTAAAGAGCACTCAATGGTTAAGTAAAGGGCAAAGTATACTGGCATTACACCCTAAAAGTAAGTAGCGTCGGGCTACAGAAAGTGACAGACTCGGGGCCCCATGCATCAAAGCCCTTCCCTAAATTCCACAGCCAACCCTGAAGGTAAAAGTGAGCTATCTTTAAGCCTGGATCCAGAGCTGCCACTACAGGATGCAGTTCAGTCCCATCGGTAATGCAAACAAAAGGGGATTTCTGAGCTGCAGCGGAGCAGTGCAGATACCCGTCATGAAGCAACACTAATTTCCACTGTAAAGATCATTTGAGAGCCAGTTGCTCTGACAGCCTTCGCAGGGACACGTGGACAGATCCGAAAGGCACTTGGTGGGGGAGCGGGGTGTTTGGGATACAGAAAAACTCCTTTCTGAAGCTGGTCAGGAATGGGTCAGTCTGCGGCCAAAACGGCTGGTCTCCCAAGGGGCAGACTGTTGTGTCAGAACCACAGGATCCTAGAAAACGAGGGTGGGAAGGGACCTCAGGGGGTCACAGCTCGTCCAACCCCCTGCTCAAAGCAGGACCAGCCCCAGCTAGATCATCCCAGAAAAAGCTTTGTCTAGCCAGGCCTTAAAAACCTCCAAGGATGGAGAGCCCACAACTGCCCAGGGTAACCTGTTCCAGTGCTTCACCACCCTCCTCGTGAGAGTTTCTCCTAATATCTAACCTCAACTTCCCTTGCTGCAATGGAAACCATTGCTCCTCGTTCTGCCGCCCAAAAGGAGACGGATGAAGTCTAGAGACATGCAAAATCCAAGGAGGAAACAACAGCTTTTCCACAACTGCCACGGGGCAAAAAATGAAGCCTAGAAGCAGATACATAATGGGGTAGTTTACTGTCCCAGACAGCAGGAGCTGGCAGCTGACCCCCACCCTCAATTCAGCACCCAAGGTTGGCCCACGCCCCACTCACCTCCTCAAATCATGCTACTGCCTAGTGGGCTATAGCATGATGCCACCTACTAAACTGGTGGCAACAGGCTGCAAGTGCTTCCCTGAAATACTGCAGTGCAAAGAGAACATGGACATTCACTCACCCACTGCTTACCCAGCCTCCCGGACCCAGTAGTACCTCTTAAAGAGGGCTGTACCATTATATACCCAGTCACATCACTTGCAGCTGTGTAAGATTAATCCGGTCTCATGGTTCAGGGTGAAAACTGTTCACTGCAGGGGTCACGATGGTGAAGATGAGACACTGAATGGACGTGAGCCTTGATACAGTGCAGAACCATCCTGTGGTCCGAAAAATCATTCTCCCCCCTCAGTCATAAAAAGCAATGTCATTTCCTGGCCTCCCTATCTAGCAGGTTAGGAAAATATTCTGTAACGTGGTATCTGTGGAAGTGCAGGCTTCACCGAAGAGGAGAGGCAATTCTCAACCCTTCATCAGTGCTCGTTCTGGAATTCTTCTTTCTTTACGGGGTGGGAGTGCAATTAGTCTGGATTTGACTATGATGGCCAATGACTGGCATCAGCAGATCCAACGGGCGCCCTTGCCAGTATAAGGTTGCCGGCATGAATAAAACAGCCAAGCCCACGCAGGCTTACCTTGCCTTCTGGAGTCAGCTTCCACAGAACAGAAAATGTCAGTCTGTCTCTCAGGGGGTTGAGGCTGCACAGCTCCTCACAAAGCAGCTTGGGAAGCATGGGAATGACCTGGAAAACAAGACGGCAGGTGTGAGGACATTCACTTTGTCATGGACTCTCCTAGCGTGCAGCTCCCCAGGGCCTGCAGCACTCCA